GTGCACCACCTTTCGACGCTGATGGAAACGCGATGAAATAATGTCAGTAAGCGAACTTGGCCGTCGCACAGACATGCTAGAACTGTGGTCACCGTCATCGGAAGTGTCATCTATTTTCAGCAGCTTATTACCGAGTTACCGGTTTCCTCTACCAAGTCCATTACCTGTTATTATAACACCTAACTTATTACCATATAGCACCACTCAGTTGTTACCGGGGGCAACCCGTAAACACATCGTCAACAACAAACCGCGGATCTTCGCTCAATCGTCTGGATAATGTTATCAGCATCATATGTGTGGCTAATTCGGGTTGGTAGTCATTATAAGCTTGAACAAATTTACCTTATTTCAAAAGAGTTAAGGTTATCTTGTTAACCGGTGAGTGATAGTCGTCTTTGTGTGGTTCGTTGGACAACATCTGTCGGAGTATGTCATGCACGCGCCGAAAATTCGCTGTGGGGGAAGACCTGAGACAACATGATTTTTCTGGACACCGATGTTTTTATGAATCAGTGAGTAGACCGGTGGTCAACAATATCGATGATGCTAATGCGTGTACATCCGCATGTTGCGCAGGTCCATCTGATCAAGGCTACTTTGGGAGATTCAGTCAGTCGTTTTGCAGCATCCTAACGCATTACTTCACACAGGTCCTCAGACTTCCTTGTATAGGCCCTGTATGAAGAAACATTCAAATCATATCTAACGTTATCGAGCTGACCAGCCCATCGGCTTCCGCTCATTTGCACATCTGGTGATCCAGGAGCCAATGATGGTAGGACTTGTATTATGCCCTGCCCACGAGCGGAACGGTCTGCACCCGGTTGCTGCCTGTTGAAGGTCACCTCCGTGCGGTTTTTGGACAGTGTCTGTAGGAGCATACCTTAATCACACCGATAACCAATGTGGGGGAGGATCTGAGAAGTCATCCCGTTTTTAGCCATTGATGTTTTTGGGAGTGGAGCTGGAATGTGATGGAACCAGAGAATTTGCAGTAAGCTGATCAGGCTTTTGGCGAGGCGGGCGGCACTTTGCTCACACAATGTGTCCAACTCTGCATGCACGTTTGGCTGGACCGTATGCTACGCACTTTACGTTACCGCCTGTTGAGCATTGTTTTCCGTGCCGTATTCGCAGTGGTGGAAACTTAGTGCTGTACAGGAATCAAAATGGCGGAATTGAATTAAGGGTGTTACAAAACGTTCAGGTGCCGTTGTTGCTATTCCCTCTCCAGGATGGGGTATACTAGACCTTTCCTCTGCTCGGCTGGAGACCTTGAACGATATTTTAACTATCCGATGACAGTGCTGTTATTCCTGCCAGTTTCGAACTAAGGAGGTAGCCCTCCAACGGACATTGAATTCATATGACATGTTGTCGATTGCATGTACATGTAAGATGGAAGGTGTAAACGGCTGGGGCGAGATAATAGCGTTGCTGATTTGTTACATCAATTAAGCAGTAGTGCAATGTGCGATCAGATTTGATGAGGTTTTTCTCAGCACGATCCACAGTAATGCTCTGTTGACTGAGTAGAAAGCATTGTTAAAGTCTACAAGCAGCAAATAAAGTGACCATTTCACAAGAGCATGGTAAACAATCGGTAGATTTTATTTGGGCAACGTTTCGCTTTTGACACAAAAGCTTCATCAGGCCAAGTGAACAGGTCACAAAATTGGCCAGGTTATAAGACAGACGGGGAACCAATCAGTAAGTTCTCTTCAGACTAAATCAGTGTTGAGTGTCAATTAACGGCTCTTGTCGGCTAGTGTGGGTGCCAAAATCTTGAATCGATGTGTTGGAGGGTTCCAAATTAGTTCCGATCGCTTTCCGTTCCTTAATCTTCCACTTCAGAATGCTTCACCTGATGATTCGCCTCGGGTGCCGCTGTTAGATTTTCCTTAGTTTTTGTGGGGTTGTGAGTGTTCCGACAATTTAGTTTGAGGGGGGTTGAGGTCAAGTGGAATCCAAGTGATGACTACTCTTCCTACTGATGACCGCACACCAACACGTGTCAGCTTGGGTGACCCAAGACCGTTCTCCACACGCTAGCCAGTTCTACGCCTT